CTGTTGGTCGCAGTGGCGGGGGGGGGGGGGGGACACCAATCTCCTGCAGATACACGGACCCTATTGTAACCGCGGCTGTAACATAAGAGGATATAAACCTTGCTTCCCAGTACAATGGACAGTGGCCAAAGCAGAACTCTTTATTTCAGCACTGACTCATCTCAGAGCTTATTCTTACAACTGGTGCTGAAATGCAATAACCACATGACCAAGCGCGGCTGTAACATAAGAGGATATAAACCTTGCTTCCCAGTACAATGGACAGTGGCCAAAGCAGAACTCTTTATTTCAGCACTGACTCATCTCAGAGCTTATTCTTACAACTGGTGCTGAAATGCAATAACCACATGACCAAGTACATGGGGGCTGCAACATCCCTTCTTCGACAAATGCAAGCTCTTTCCCTTCACATGTGGGAAAGGCATAGGAGTACATACAGATACGGCCACATAAGCCCCCGGTGTCCCATGCTACACTGCAGGAACACTGAGCATCACCTGCTGTGACAATAAGCCTTTGATATAGTTCCATCCCACAGTTGACAGTTTTGAAAAATAAAATTGAAAGGCGGGTTATCAGAAAATAGCACCACAAAAAGTTTGGAAAGGACATTTGGGATTACCCTGTAGCATTATACAAGTCAGACAGCTGATAAAGAATATCAATTTCCAAAGGTGTAACTTGTCCAAATTTGATTGCAGACTGAGAGAATTCCTCTGTTTTGAAGAAATGGGTTTGAAAGAAGAGAATTGGTAAGCATTCCTGTGATTTTTAAAAATGCATTTATCATTTAAATACACAAGCCCAAATCCAGTGATTGCCTACTGCTGGATGACACTGCTTTCCCCAGAACTGGCAACCCCTTCTCTTCCACAGCCTATGACCCCTCAACAACTGCTCCGGAGGGCTGGGAAGCTTTCTGGAGCAGGATTTTCAGCACAACAAAGGGCTGCAGCAGGAAGCCAGGAATGTCCCAAGTCTATCCAAAGTTGGCTGCACTGGATCAAATGGCACAAGGTCAAGAGAATACAATCAGAGGACCAAAGGGAAATAAACACCAGCAAGAACCCAACCTAGTGTGGATGACCGATTTATTCAGAAGAGAAACACCTAAAATTGGGGGGGGGGAGGCCTTCAGTTCTCCTGATGTTTGGGACTTCAACTCCCAGAGTGGCAGCCAACAGAAAGAATGGCAAGGGATTATGGGTGTTGTAATCCAAAACATTTGAAGGGAATTGTGCTCTCCACTATGGCTCTAAAATGAAGATTTCTGAGGCTCAATCACATTTATCAGCAGTGGACATCCATCTTGTAATTATAGGTGGATAGTGGCTCTTCAATAGTGAAACAAAGGCCTTCTGCGCATGGTCAAAGACATTTTTTCTAATGCTACACCACTAATTCCAGGACCAATCCTTAGCACTGATTAAGAATTGAACCTTGACTAAAGCCTTATACAGTATACTAACATAAGAAACCAGAAGGACTTCTTTAGTCACACAAAAAGGAAGAAGAAAAGTGGTATGATCTTCATGCAAGGGTGGGTGATACCTTTGTTTAACCACTTTTAAAAAACCCTCAAACACAAGTCAGCTTTCAGCTTCTTGCAGCTCTTCATTAGGCTACACACTGTAGATCTGTGGATGGTGCAGAAAAAACATAGGTATTCCCAAAAGCATGACTGGATGTGCTTGCCACCTTCCTTTGTTAAATCTAAGTTTCAAAAATGGGGACTTGTAGCGTCAAGTCAGAGACGTAGGTTTCACATTGGATTGTGTATAAGCACTACACAACTTTTTCTTGCTTTTCTGTTGGATAGCAGAAGATAGTCTAAATAGCCAACCAGATCACTGTCTGCAATCAAACATGAATGTTTAATGTTGTCTCAGCCCAAAAAGAACTTTGTGTTTCAAGACAGGGCAAACGAGGGGTGCTGAATGATGGGCGACTCTTTGACTAACAAGATTGGGAGGACATTCCCGTGGTGGAATCTGAAGCCTATGCCTCTGACTTTAATCTACAGCCCACATTTTTGAAACTGCCTTTTAACAAAGGAACCTGGCAAACGTATCTCGCCACAATTTGGGAAGATTTTCAGTTTCTTCTGCACCATTCACAGCTCTGCAGTGCCCACCCTGATGAAGACCTATAAGGAACAGAAAGCTAGCTTGTGTTTGTGATTCTCCAGTGGTTTAATAAAAGTCTCATCCATCCTTGCTTTCATAAGGACTTCTTGGGAAAACAAAGAAGCCCATTGTGATTTTTCATCATCACACTGATAGCATAATTTTAAAAGCCAATTGTTAGCATGCAGGGTCTTACAACACCTCATTTCCTTCAAATGGGAGAAAATTGGTTGACAATGCCTGCAAGAACAAAAAAGGGAATAAATCTCAAGAGGCATAAAATATTATTTTCTAAGGTCCAGTGCATTTCAAATCCATAGGCATCCTTCAGTCTCAAGAGACTATGGTAAAATGCTCTGAATCGAGAAGTGTCCTCTCCAGAGCATGAAGCCTGGGTAAAGAAATATGGGGGATAGGTTGTTACCCAAGCAGCAGATCCCCCCTCCCCACGTTGCTGAAATGGTCCAATGGAAAGGCAAGAGCCAATACATCTGGTTCCAGCAACGTCGCAGGAGTTGGCAGAACGACACGAACCGCCTTCGGGACTCCAGCTCCAGATTTTGCCTCTAGGTTAACTCCTGAAGCCTTTTCCATCAGTGGATATAGCCACAAGGCAGTGGAGGTTTGAAATCGGAGTTTACCTTCTCCTAGATGGGCTGCCTTCCATGGCTGACGAGCCCCACCTACCCAGCCTCCTCTTTATTAGTGCAGAAGTATGATCCGACCCTTAAAACTTTCCTGCCTCCCAGGTGTATGCAAATCTAATTGGCTTTCCTATTTACCATATTAGGGCCAGAGATAGAATCAGAGAATTTGAGAATTTCGTGCGAAGTCTAATTATATACAAATACGGAGAAAATGAGACCTAAAAACTATAACAGCACTCCCATAAAAAGTATTTAGGGATGACACGACACTCTGCCTCGCAGAAAAATATTAAACATGCTAAAGTTTATGTTGTACACTTACGTAGAGGTCATCACTTCTTGTCTCTGCTTTGGTATTAAACTGCCTTTTCATCTTTAAGATTCCCAAGTGTGGAAAGGTGTCCCTACCCTTTACAACCACTATCAGAGGTTTCACTCTATACCCTAAGATAATGGATTCCTAGGAGTGCTTGTTTACTTCCTCTCTTGTAGAGATGAATCACTAAGCCTTTTAAAAAATTTCTTCAGCCATTTTGGTTTGTTTTAATATTCGACTTGTTGCTATCAATGATTTCAGTGTTCTTCTAACTTTTAGGTCTTGACTTCTGCATGTTTTTGCTTAATATTACAATATAATCAGTATTTGTTTGAATGATGTTAGAAGTTAAAAGGGGCAGGGGTTCTAGCAGCAGAAAAGCATGATACAATGTTTACCTGATGGACATTGGATGGATCTACTCTGAGTCAACAGTCACTGTGTAACACAGAAGCAGGTTAGATAGGGTGCACGGCTTTCATAATACTTGCTAAAAATTTGCTTACAATAACATTTATTTGAAATAACATGATTGTATCATTTTTGTGTTTTACACTTATTGTAGCAGTAAAGTTTATATTAGAGTTATTATTATAATTTTCAACCGCTAATGGAATTATTTTTGCTTGTTTGTGTTCACTCCCCAAAATACTATTGATTTGTTAATGCAACTAAAATTTGCCATAAGTAATAAATATAGCAACAGAATGCTCACAAACAACATGTAAGTGCCATTCTGGAGAAAGGGGGCTTCTTGCTACTCTCACAGTAGCACACGGGTTCCTTGACAGAGCGGCTGATGGAACATAAGATACAGAAAATTCTGGTACCAATGTGTGGACTTCTGTCCAACTTCTGCCACCGAGGTGCAGTAATATCAAAAGTAAAAAACAAACAATGCTTTACCTTTTGTAACTTCAATATCTTTTCTAGCACCTGCTATGAGGCTGTATATCTTTCGAACAAGCTCCATGTTGTTCAGCAAGGCATTGAATGCATTGAAATAAGAAAAGCTGACTTGGTGTGAAATAGATCCACCCGCAACCTAATAGAAGTAGTAAAAACAAAACACACACAAACACAAAAACTAAGCTATATTTACAAAACAAGAATAAGTTTGGGATTCCTCATTTTTCTCAGAGCTTTCTCATATACAGTGGTACCCAACATTACGACGACCCTGCAGACCAATGAAATCGCATGACGTTGACTTTTTTGCAATAACTATAGCGATCGCAAAACGATGTTTCCTATGGGTTTTTTCGCTGGACATCAATTAGGTCCTTGCTTCGCGAACCGTTTGTTCGCAAAACGACGATTTTTCCGGCTGCCCTGTGTTTTCCGGACCCATGCTTCGCAGGGCAGCCATTTTAACAGCTGATCGGCGCTCAGAAAATGGCTTCCCCTATGGCCGATCTTCGCTGGACGACGAGGTAATTTCCCCATTGGAATACATTAAATGGGTTTCAATGCATTCCAATGGGGAATTCTTTTTCGCATGACGAAGATGTCGCTTAACAGCAATTTTCCTGGAACGGATTATTGTAGTCATGCGGGACACCACTGTATTCTGCTAAACTGAGCCTATGAGTAAAACAAGAAATAGGCCTTACTTTTCCACACCTGCCTCATGTGTTATCATTCAGATTTATGGGTGATTATTTCAAACTGCAACAGACATTCTGAATTTCTTCTTGGTCTCTGCCTAATATTGTGATTACTTCTACCAACATGTTTATCATTATTGATATTTTAACTGTAGCTGCACTAGTAAAACCCTACTCTTGTCTCAGCAACCGATGGCCCCCCATTCTCAATACAGTGGTGCCTTGATTTATGCCCATAATCCGTTCTGGAATGATGGTCGTAACTCGAAATGGTCGTAAGTCAAAGTACCATTTCCCATAGGAATGCACTGAAATGCAATGAATCCGTTCCAGCCACAGAAAAAAACTCACACACACACCCCAAAAACCACTGCAAGACTCATTGGAAACGTGATTAATCCCTTCTGGCCGAAAGGTGGGGGGAGAGAAAAGCAAAGGAAGCATACAGGACCCATTGCAAAAGCACAGAAAACAAACGGAGCAGGTTGGAGATGCACAGAGAACAAAGGGACAAGGTTGGAAATGCACAGAAAGCAAAGGAAAAAGAAAGGGACGCATGCAGGACCCATTGCAAAAGCACAGAAAACAAACAGAGCAGACTGGAAATGCACGAAGAACAAAGGGACCAGGTCGGAAATGCACAGAAATCAAAGGGAGCAGATCAGAAATGCAAAGAGAACAAAGCAAAAAGCAACAGAAGCATGCAAGCCATATCGAAAATGGAGAAAAAAACCAAAAAAAGCAACCAAATCCCCCAAGACTCATCAGAAATTGGGGGGGGGGGAAACAAAAAACAAATTCCCCAAGACCCATCAGAAATGGGAAAAACACTCCAAAAAGCAACCAACCCCCCCATCGGAAATGGGGGGGGAACGAAAAAACAAATCTCCCCCAAGACCCATCACAGAACAGAAAGATAACCCCCCCCAGCTGAAAACTACGCTGCAAAAATACCAAGAAGAATTTTTAAAAAGCATAAAGCAGCGTCATATCTTAGCAGGCACACTCCTTGAATCACACACTCTCTAACTGCCAGGGCGAAAGAGCTACAAAGAAGTAGCCTCTTTCGCCACCTACAGTTAGCAATTTGAATTTCCTGCCTTTTTCTGTTCGTAAGTGGAAGCTCCGGTTGCAAGTAGAAGGAACATTTTGTGACCTGAGCTGTTTGCAAGTTGAATTGGTCGTTAAGTAGGGACGGTCGCAAGTCGAGGCACCACTGTATTTGACAATCTGAGGACAAAATCTCTCTTGCGTTTGTGGCACTCATAAGCAGCCTGAACCTGATATTTGTTGATACTTACCGAGACTAAATTTTCTTCCACAAAAGGAGTGAGCATGTGCGAACGAATAGTGGACATAATGTCACCAAAATCCAAACCAGTGATCGTGCCTGTTTTGTTTTTGTCTTTCAGAGCAAATGCTTGCCTTGCATGTTCAGATTGCAGCTCCTGAAATGGTATTGCAAGAAATGACATCCTGAGAGCCTCATTGTGAATCATGAGCCACAAATGACCAACACAATTGTCAGCGATTCCACTTGTTTCCTCCCCAGATATGCACAGAAATAAAAAGAAGTAACCAGTGTGCTCGGCATTTTGCCTTGCACCCCTGAAAAGCTACTCCAGCAATGAGCTTGGAGAAAAACCATTGTCTGTTCAGTTCTGTATGTGGTGTTTTTCCACATACTGTACACCCATCTCTGTGAGTGACGCACAAGGCTGCTGCTGATCAATATCTATCGATTCAGAAACTGCGCTGACACAGAAAGGTACTCGGGTTTTGTTTTGTTTTATTTCCACACCAGCTTTTGGCCCTTACAGTAGCGAAAACTGGCTGTGAACAGGACTTAAAGAAGCCACAGAAGCCAATGCAGGAGGGCAAAAGCATTTCCAGCAGGGTTTCAATCCACTACACACCCACTGATCTGCTCCCAAAGAGGACAATTACAGTGGATATAAAAAGTTTACACATCCCTGTTAAAATTTCAAGTGTCTGTAATGTAAAATAATGAGACAAAGATAAATCATTTCAAAACTTTTTCCACCTTTAATGAGACCTATGAACTATACAACTCAGTTGAACAACAAACTGAAATATTTTAGGTGGAGGGAAGTAAAAATAAAAACTGAAATAATATGGTTGCATCTGTATGCACACCCTTAAACTAATACTTTGTCAAAGCACCTTTGGATTTTATTACAGCACTCAGCCTTTTTGGGTATGAGTCTATCAGTATGGCACATCTTGACTTGGCAATATTTGCCCACACTTCTTTGCAAAAACGGATCCGTATGGATCCGTGCAGAAACACAGTGATGAAGAGAAAAGCTTTCTCTTTACATAAAGGTTTAAAATAATGGACATTGCAAGTATAGAACAAGATGGTCATGCTGCATCATTATTTTGCAGAATATCTGCTGAATGCACACTAATTATGGCACAATAAAATAGAAATAACTGACCTGTAAAAACTGAGTGAATTCTGAGTATGTCAGGTGTTTCTTTCTATTATGTCCAAAGTGCAATCGAATGAATTCGCAGTCCCAGTTAAAAGGGATGTGATGGTGAATAATAGTCTGTCCAAATATTTCCTTCACATTTTCTTTGAAAGAAAAGAGGGGAAAAGTTTTTTAACCAAAATATCACTCAGCTCTGTTTAAAATTCTCCTAATAGAAAACAAAATGATACTTCAAGAGTCATTCAAAATAAAAAATACTTTTAAAATTTTAAGTTGGCTGTTTATTTCTCCAGAGCCAAAATACTTTGTATAGAGCAGATTTGAAAACTACTTTTTCTTCTAACACTATGTAGAGCTTCAACATCTATGATTTTGTCTTATTCACTTTTAATTAAGAAGCAATTTATTTTGTTCATTAGAAATACTTAGCACTTTGCATGCGGATATAAAATCAATGCTGTGCTCCTTGATTCTACAGTATGTCAAATTAAGACCTGATTGAAAAGCAATGAATACCTGTATTGCTGTATACTGTAATATTTCCCAGACTACGCATCCTGTGATTGAGACTTGATTATCACATTCACACTTGTGTGAATGCAACTATTAAAGGCAGGTATAAGTAATGGCAACCAAATTGTGTCATTATCATTATAGAAAATGTTAACTATTTCAGTTCATTGCCAAATCCAGGAACCTGATAAGTTACAGAAAGCATCAAATTATCATATTGTTTAAAATATTGCGAAGTGTGCACCATTAGGCCTACTCAGGTATTTACCTGCCAGCAAGAAACCTTAGTGTCGGTCGGACACATGGCCCTCTTTCCCTCCCTAAATGGATCAGATTGCATGTGACCCAAGGTATCATCTCATTGATTTTCCTAACGCTGCACACCAAAGCACATCACTGGTGATGGAGCTAGGGGTTAATAAGATTTTTTCATTCACATAAATGCAGTACAGTCTGAATAAGATGTTCTCGCTCTCTTCTGTTGAAGGGTCAGAGAGAAAGGATGCAAAACAACCTGAGATTCTGACGGAGTTTAGTCACGTAAAATCCACTCAACAAATTCCACTGGTAAGATAAAGCCACACTGCAATTTGCCATATAACATTTGCCATCGAAAGAGTGTAGTGAAATCTTTTTGGGCTACCAACCAATTCAATGCTTTCTTTTAGATTTATATATTTTCTTTTCAATGATTCAAATACTGTATAAGGATGTTCTACACTTCTTACTGATACGGACATCCACTTCCAGGTCAACCCACCCACCCATGCAGCTTCCAACATGGAGCACTTCCTATCTGCAGGAATGACAAAATGCTTTTTCTCACTATGTGCTTCCTGTGAGAACTAAAATTTAAATAAAATAAGGTTCCAACACCTCCCCTCACTCCAATAAATTCTTTTAAAATTAGTGAATTAAAGCCGCTCAGAGTGGTATAAATATACCAGGTGGGCGGGATATAAATCAAATAAATAAATAAATAAATAAATAAACATGAGAAAAGAGGGCATGCTAACCTGGCCCTCATCCTCTATATTTCTATTGTCTTCTAGACATGGCAGAAAACTTTCTGAACAAGGAATCTCCTCTGTATATGAAAACTCTCCAAACAATTTAGAAGGTTTTCTGAGGTTTGAAACCACATTGACTACTTTCAGAGATGAAAGAGACTCTCCCGTTGAGAAAATGACCACATGTGAAGCCCAGTGGTAACAGTGGGACTAGGATGCTGTATTTAATGAACACATTTATTCGTTTATTCTCTCCGCCCCATACACACACCCCTCTTGTGCCTTGGTAATCATCCTAAGCTTTTTCAACCCTGTTTATGAAACTGTAAAAATTAATTTTGCCTGTTGAGGACAGAAACAGTAAAAGAGAGGCTGCAATTTTTAGGTTCCCCTTTGGCTTAAGAGACAGATGCTTCTCAAGTCAGTTTTAAAAGATGGTAGATACCCCCAGGGACCACTTCTCAAGTTCCAAAGCATCATTTCTAAAGACAGCTTGGAAGACAAGTCAGGAAGGGCAACTCAAGGAAAAAGATCACATGACTCTAGAACGCATATTTAACACACTACTGTCTGAGTCAGCATAACACAACTGATAACAAAAAAAATTAAGACTGGACTGTGTCTTGAGGGTTTTTTTGATAATGTTAACTGTAAAATAAACTCACTACTTTAAGATTCTTTTGAAGATTAAAAACAGATAACAGCACCCAATAGATTTACACATTCAGCTGCAAAATTAGTTGCTGTAGCTTATAACATTTGGCATGATTGTCTGTTAGTGTCATTCAGCCCATGGATCCTATTACTTCTTTCCACCTTTAGATCCAGCGGAGTCCATTTGTATTAGAACATTTTCTTTGTACTTTGTAATGTTATGATTTCTGTTGTAACACACTATGGTTATAAACAATGCATCAGAACTTGATGTGACTAGTATTTTCCTAAGTAAGAAAGAAATGGGGAAAAAAGTGGAACTTGAGATACACCACAATTACAGTCATACATTGGGACAAAAGCTCAAGACAAAAGCATTCAACTGAACAAAGGATATAACTATTTTTATCATTTTCTGGTGAATGCTTCTAGTGCTCCTGTTATTCATTTTCCAGAATCTTTTGCATTTGGCTTGGCTCCCTTACACAAACAGTACGTAGCTCAAACTGACTACTACAGACTGCTTTACAAAATAACCTTTTTCTGGAGTAGAGGTGGGGAAAACATACAAATCCCAGACTTCATTAAGTCACAGTGATAGCCTGACACTTAGGCTAGCAAACTTGGCACAACTGAAGATCACATACATAACCGATTATTTTACCATGATATCCTGAAAATTGCCTTGGGTACATCTTATTCAGGGGGAAATCTGATTCACAATTCACTTCCCTAAAAGGAAAAGGTCCTTTACTCCTTAAAATCGCTGTTGTTCCAGCCAACTTTTCATGTTGCAAAATCCTGCTTTTCTGGAGCACCACCACATGACACAGCCCCTGTGCAAAATGAAACTGCATTGTTTTGTACTGACACACCACTAGCCACCGCACTGGACAAGGAAGACTAATCAAGGCCAGCTGCCTGATCGGAATATAAAACGAATATGGGCTAGCACTGTTTAACCCTTAACTGTGCTAGCCCATATTCATTTTACATTTCGGTCAGGCAGCTGGCCTTGATTAGTCTTCTTTGTTTAATTAAATTAAACATTTAATTGTGCATTAAGTGTTAAATATTGATGGGGGCTCCCCCTCCCCCTAATTTTTCTTATGTTCCTTGATCATTCCATTCTTATGTGCTTTGTGTTGTATTTCAATCAGACATCCAGGATGGCCCAAGGAGGCCTAGGCTGGGCTTCCTTGTCCAGTACGGAGGGCAGCAGTGTGTGCATCCAACTCGATTGAGGCTGGTTGGGCAGAGAGGCTGCAAGGCTGTGGTTTTTCTCCCACAAAACCCCTCATGAGTTTGCAAAGTAAGCCATAACAGACTGAAGCGGTGGTTTCCTTCATTTTTGGACAATTTAGCTGCACCAACCTGGGTACAACTCATACACCCTTTTGAATGGGCCATGTATGTACTATATATATATATATATAAGGTGTATGAGTTGCATACATATATATGGGATTTTCCTCTTTCTATATAGGGAAATCCCATATATATGTATGCAACTCATACACCTTTTAAATGGGCCTGAGGTGATATATATTTTGTTTCTTTGGCACAATCCAAAGAAACAAAACAGAACAAGACAAGACAAAACATTGTGGCACCTTAAAAACTGACTATTATATTTTAATATGAGCTTCTGTGGATCATGTCCACTTCTTTAGATGTATGAAATGCAGAATTCACAAGTAAATCAACTAATACATTTTTAAATAAAAATCAAAGGAGAAGAACGCGCGTGAGAGAGATAAGAAGAAAAATGTATCCAAACGGTACAGAGGTGACAATACGGTAGGAATAGACTCTAAAAAAGCTCTCGAGGTGGTCCCTCAGTGGCAGTAGGAAAAAAACTGAGGAATGCCTTCAGGGTAAGGAGCATGCAAGGTGGAGAGGGCATGTCTTAATACCCTTTTTCTAGGCTCTAGAAGATTCCGAGGATGTTTGCATAGCTGCAGAACAGACTCATGTGCATGATTTCACAGAGACCATGAAGAACAACTTTTGGAAATGCTATAGTAGTGCATTGCTCAATAAAGAATTTGGTCATTTGAGAAAAACTAAATTTGGAAAAAGACACATTGGCCGTTTCCCTTTTTCAAGAGAGGGAGAATGGATTGATATATGCTCATTGCAGAATACATACTCAGTAACATTTTGATTAAGATTTCAATAATGTGAATTATTTTTTTCAACTTCTAACATTTAACTGAATAATCATGGTTATTGTCAATTTTTGAACAAAACATTCTGTGAGCCTGAGAAGAAAGAGTACATTTTCAGAAACACTTCATCAGACATGAAAAACAGGTGATCGAACATCAACTGATTTTTGTGTGAAAATGTTCCCAGCACAGTTCCATCTCTTGTCTAGTCAATTAGGCAACACTTTTGCCAAGAGGCAGAGAGTGGGCCGGCCTTCTAGGTGGTTTCATGATAAGGTTGGAGAGAGTTCATGGTTGAACAGGTGATCCAAAGGAAGGTGATCCAAGCATGTCATACTGGCCAAACATGTTGGGTGATGCTCAGTTGGCCCTACCTTCAGTCCTCCATGAGGCCAGAACATGTACAGTGGTTAGGTTTCCCCACAAATCTTCTCATACAAGGAAGTTCCACTTTCTTTCTTTGTATCAGAGTGTTGCCCAAACCAGGAAGTTTACCATGCAACTCTTCTGGAAGTAATGGACTGGCCGGCTGCATGTTGGTGCCCAAGGGATGCCTGAGTGTACCTGCAAATGCTTTTCAATTCTTCGAGGAAGCTCCTTCTGTATCCACTCAGGTCTCTATATTGTCTGCTAGGAGACTAACCAACCTTCATTGATCCAGGGTCCCTCAATGCTGGAAGGATGCCTTCTGTGTCTCATTGCATCAACTGATCCTTTTGGATGCCATCGTGTCCCACTCAGTCACTTGGGACTTCCCAGTGCTTAGACTCGCTGGCCTCATTTCCCCTTTCGGATGACCCAGTGATGTCTCTGGATGACACCATGTCTGGGTTTTGGCTGTCAGCCATGGCTAAACATGCTTTGTAAACAAAGAAATGTTGCTGGTAAATTGAAGATGCTTTCAGTGTAGGCACACTCTGTGCCTCTTTCGAAATTTTCAGTTTTTAAGTTTTAATGATATAGCCATTCACTACACTCTTTTGACAAATATTTGTAAATTGATTGAGATAAGGCTCACACTGCAGATTAAACCAGCAAAGTGTCTGCATATCAACCCTTTAAAGGACTCAATCCATACCATGAAGATATGCAGCACAAGCTCTCTTTTACCTTTTCTAATTGGCTTGCAAGTGCTTCATTCACTTGATGGAGATGCAAAGAATACATTATTGATTAAGATAACCGGAGTCCAAAAACCCTGTTCTCCCTCTAATGATTCTAAACTCACTCTCAAAAGAATCACCGCACTTGCTAGGAGCAGTTGCTGCTGCCACAAGACACAGGATCTGAAACAATGCCTCCCAAAAATAGAGCAGGAAACAATCCAGTTTGGATCTAATTCCCAATTAGCCACAGACTAAAACAGAAAGGGACAACTTCAAGCCTCTGAACAATACACGTTTCACCTCAAAACTGCCTTCACGTTAACATTCTGCTCAATTATATCTGTCTCGCAGAGTATTTCAGCTGGGCTGCCTTGAACAAATAACATTTGAAGTAGTCATTTAAGGAATGAATAGACAGTGACTGTGCAATGAGTCAAGGAATCATGCTTTGCAATTTGGCAATAGTTGTTGGAGGCAAGGGGAACAGCCAAATCTTTGAAGAAAAAGGAAACAACAGGCAAAGGATCTATGAAGGAATGCACTGTTCTGCAATATTTACTGTGAGATATATTTCTTAGACATAAATGAGAGCCATCCTCCCCCATCCTTCCCCACCATGTAACAAGAAAAATCTTTAGCAAAATGTAGAGCAGTGTTTTTACCAAAGGTCACTTCGCCACTGCCACTCTTGTCAAACAACTGAAAAGCAACAATGAACATGGCATCCGGTGTACACAAAACTGATTCAAACGCCAAAAACTCTTGAAAGGAGATCAACCTAAAAAAATAAATAATCACGTATTACATATCAGAAGTAGAAATGGGGATGTGTTCTGTAAGGGGATATTTGCATGTGTGACTATGTCTGTTTGTCTGTAAAGGAAACAAGTAAATAAAATCCAGCAAAGACAGTTAAATCTGGTTCTTGAAAAGACCTGGCAATACGTTTTTTTTTTAAATTTTACGGTTTTACGTATCAGGACATAATAAAAATCGACTGGTCCTTAGCAGATCTGAAAATCGGGTAAATACAACCTCAGATGAACAACAACACAGTGCATATTACACTGTTTCATGATTTATTTTACAAAAATAAAGCTAAAATGGAGAAGTCGTGAGTGAAAAATTAAGTACCTCTTACTGCTTCCACAGAAATTAAGAGGCTAAGCAATTTTTCCCCAAGCAATTCTACATCTTTAGCACTTCCATGGCAATGTAGCACTGTCCTCTTTATACTGGGAACAACTGTACCTGTTGAATTTGTCCAGTATTAAGGAGGGAGAATTTCATTTCTCCCCCCCCCACACACCCTCAAATTCACAAATATTCTTCAACTACACATTCAGGGTAGAAAATGCGAGATTTTGTAAATTGCACTCAGGACAAAGTGGAATTAAGAGATATTCCCATCCCTACCCTGCCTGTTCTGGCCAGAGAGAGGTGGACCTCCTTGCAGAAATAAGCACAATCCACAGAACTGACTGTGGTAAAGAGAAGAACAAGTAGGACCACTGTGTCTCTTGCTTTTTGAGAGGGGGGAGAGGAAGGGTAACACTACACTTTAGTACCCAGTGTGTACTGCCCAGCACTTCTGGAAGCCAAAGTAGGATCGAGGTTACAATACTGTACTGGGACTCAGAAAATTTGGGTTCAAATCTCCACTTGGTCACAACACTCACAGCATGACCTTGGGCTTGTCTCTCAGCATGACCTACCTCCCAGGCTTGTTGTGAGGATACAGTGGGGAGTAGGAGTACCATATATGCTGCCGAACTTGTTGGAAGACAGGTGGGATATTATGACTGGGTTCCCTTCCTCTGGTTGGGGCAAATCCCAACTTTAAACTTGTGACTGAAAGTGGTTCTGTTTTAAACATAAGGTCTTTATTTAACACAATTGGCTCCTTTTCTACAACAACTTCCATTGGTTCAACTTCAGGTTCAACATTTGAGGTCTATTCTAAACCATTATCGGGAACTGTCCATAACTTGTATTCTAATGAGAATGTCTTTCCCCAGAATTCTGTCAAGTCTGGAGGGAGAATCCAAGCCTGTTAGCTCCACTCCAACCTCTATTGGTGAACTAGAGGTCTCATGGTGAACTCTGTCTCTATGGGAAGAAGGGACGGCAAGCCAACCGGGAGACTTGTCCCCTTGTCCTCTTTCTCACAGATATAAATTAGCAAACAAGGAAACAAACAGATAAACAAATCATAGCAAGCATCGTGAGATCACAAAGAAGCAACTGCCCAGAAAGTCAAGCACCTGCGGCTTTGATACTGACCAGAACTGCCATTGCTCTGGGAGTATTTGGGGGTGTTGAAATATGGCAGCTGACTCTTGTCCCTCCAATGGCAGAGGGAAAGTGGCCATGGACGCCCCTTTTCCATATACCAGTGGCCAAAATGGGAAGAAGGTGGAAAGAGAATGTCTTCCATGACTCCGTAAATGCTGAAGTAGGCTCAGATACATACCACCATGTTCAGGCGTTCTCTGACAGTTCTCTGTTACGGATGCCCAACAGGAGTTCAGCTCAACAGAATCATTTTTCAGGCACAAACATTCTCAATATACTTGATTCCCCCCCCCTTCCCAACAGGACAAAAATGTAATGTAAAACAGTGGTATTTGAGTTATTAATGTAGTTGTTATATTGTTGATGTTTGATTAATAGAACAGGCTTGGCAGTGATTTGCTACAACTTAAGAAGTTAATGTAGCCATTTGTTTTTGAGCACCTACTTGTGCTTCGCCACCAAGATTTATGCCAATTGCATTATCCCTTTGGGGATAACAAACAGGACCTTGGTCATTATTTTGTTATGTTTCTCCTTCAAGCTCTTAAGCCTAAAAGGTGGCACTAAAAATGCAAGGGGGTTTCTTTTGGGTGCAAATGTCTATTCCCTCAACGGAGAATACTGTGTCACACGGTCCAATATTATTTCATCATCCAAAATAATGTATTCCCACATTCTCCAAATATAATACCCTTATTTTGGACCTGAACTCCCACTGCAGCCATACCCACATGTAAATAAGAGAATACAGGTTTATTCATGCCTCCACCATTACTCCTTTGCCTCTATCAGTATTCTCTTCCCCTGTGGCCTCCCTGACTGAAAGATTTATTATAATTTTAACTCATCTACTTATAATTTTTGTTGTACTCCACCTTGTGTAATGTGGTACTCCACACAATTAGAGCTGCACTCACAAGTGTCAAACCTAAGGCTGCACAAGATTACTAAATACTGAAGTGAGGTGGCAAGGAAAACGAAAGAACAACACCAAAGTCATATTTGCACACAAAACATCATAAAAGAGAGAATAGCTTTTATATTTCATATAAGCAACGTTCAGACATTTACCATCTCAACCCTCCAAAAGACTATGTTTTATTTTGACAGTAACCTTTCATTTGTTCTTTATCTCTGCTCTCTTATGGCACCAGTGGCTTCTGACCCCATCTATACTTACTCCCTGATTATTGCTCAAAATTCCCCTCTAAAAATTTTTGGAGACCCACATAAAGAGTAGAGGAGGCAGGCAGGGCTGCTCTTAAACCATGTGGGTTAAAAGGCTATGCTGGAGAAGAGTAGACATTCTATCAATTAGTTTTAAAAAGCAATTTTAAGAACAAATAACACTGTCAATAAGTAATATTTTAAAAGCTCTGTGCAGTATTTATCCTGATTAGGCAAACTGTTTTCTTGCCTTGTATAGCAATTAACGTCTCTCTCCCCGAACAGATCACATCTCTGAGGGCCCCCATTTGATGTTCATGTGTCATAAAGACCATGCATGGCAAAGGTCACATGACTTTATCCCACTCCTCAAGCCCAAAGAGTCTTCAGCTGCTATACACTAGCAGCAAAACTCTTCCATGGGGATTGTATGTGAATGGGCAATGTTGTTACAACTAATAAAATGTATTCTGTACTCATTTTTATTCCGCCTCCAGCTGAAATATTTTGCATCCTGTACCCTGGACCACCACAAAGAGCGTTTCACTATCCTGTATTTATTTTCCTTATTTTCTCATAATAAACTCAGGCTCTTTTTTAAAATGTTAAGACCACTTCCATGTAACCAGAGGAAATAGTCAAATGACATTGTTCATGTACATTTAGTTCATGGATCAAAACTGGAGCCTCTTTACAATTTTTTGCTACAATGATTCTGAGAAGGCGAAGAGGCAAGCAGGTTTTAAAACCAAACAGCAATTAACCTCTTTATTAATGAGGGCTGCTAGGGAATAAACACAGAATGGAAACTGTTGTCTGTGTATACTTCTCATCTTTGGACTGGATTGTACCTTAAGCAACATAATGTGCAATACAGTTTTACAACAAACTAGCAGAGCTCTCACCCATCCTTTGTCTGATCGGCCACTCCAGCCAACAGCTGCACTGTTTTAGGATTGTACTGAGAGTCCGTATATAGTCCTAGGTATCTCTGCACAAAGTCTCCTGGTGTCATGTAACGTTCTCCATCTTTTTCAACAGTGGCATACTAAAGGAAAGAGAGAGAAAACTCCAATTATTCTCATATTTGTATACAAATTATCTGCATTTGCTTCAGAGTAGCCAACTGTCCAGTTAACTGAATATGGCTGTCACCCAAACAAGCAGGAAAACACAGCATCTAAGCATCAAAGAAAAAAGGGCAAAATCCCTACTGTAGGATAAGATAAAATGTAATTAATATTAGCATACCTGAATAGTCATTCAATTTTATCTTTCTCTAACCAGGACCACATGGCCTTTACTGTATCGCTGGCATCTAAACAAGATGTGCAGAATGTTGCTACGTAGTTTATTTGAAAGAGTGTAGACTGAATGATACCCAACAAACGCAAGTTCACACAACGGATCTTTCCTTTTCCTTCCTTTCCTCTGCAGTACTCTGTACCCCTTGGAAGGTTTATTTGATCCCCTGTGCAGAAACTGCCATGCAATGTATGATGCAGCGGGAAAAGGGAATCCCCTGGAATCAGTCACAGCAATTTGGAACCATTCTGGCTATTTTTTTTTTTTTTTTTTTNTGCCAGGAAGACAGGCCATACATTTGCTGTAAAATAAAAAAGGAGGCTGTCTGTTTGATTCACCACTTCAAGACCATGAGACACAGATGCATGAAACATGGCATGAATACCAAGGGGATCCTTAGAGCTGTACCCCTTTGCTGTGGATCAAATCATGGGCTATTTCAAAACAACACAAAGCCATTGACCAGTGGTACTGCTGTCGCTTCATTGGTATTATGGCTCACTGTAAAATAAAAAAGGAGGCTGTCTGTTTGATTCACCACTTCAAGACCATGAGACACAGATGCATGAAACATGGCATGAATACCAAGGGGATCCTTAGAGCTGTACCCCTTTGCTGTGGATCAAATCATGGGCTATTTCAAAACAACACAAAGCCATTGACCAGTGGTACTGCTGTCGCTTCATTGGTATTATGGCTCACAAGTCACTGCATTGTTAAGTCTGGTTGATCCAGCCAGAAATAAGCCTGGACAATTTAGGTTTTGGATAACAACTCCCACACTCTTACAGTTGGCATGGTCAAGTTGGCTGGGGGATTCTGGGGGCTGGTAGGCCATTAAGTCATTTTTTCCTGAACTCTAAGCTGGAAGTGATTGTGACCCTAAGAGATCAATCAAGCATGTTAAATGATTAGTATAGGGTGCCCAGGACCAGAAGTAACTGCACTTTCATCAGTCTAACATTGGCTTTTAATTTGTTAGGATTTGCAGGGGGCAGGCCTGCAGTATATGTCTGGAAAGCAGATACAGTGATATTTCGAGTTTATTACTCTTTGTAGGTAGGACTCAAAATCACTTCTGGTTGGAAAGGATTCATTTTTTACCTGAAAAGATGGAACAATATGATTCAGCCCATTTGACTGATACAGCTTTTGACGTGAAATACCTTTGCATCAAGCTTGTTTGTTTATATGCAGTTCCTATGCTCTTGAATCTACAGACTCTGATCACCTCCAATAGCAGACTTGTACTCTTGACACCCCAACCCTGTCCATGCCCAAAGAGCGGCATATAGTTTGGTGCTCAAGATGCCCTGGGCCATTATAGACATACCTCAACCTCATCTTTGTCTGGGTCCATGCCAGAATCTGTGTGTTTCCATATCACTATGTGTGTGCATTTGTGTGCGGGGGAGGGAGAATCCCATGAATGGAGAAAAGCAAACTGCAGTGGCTTCAGGTACGTGTGTGTGCTCTCCCAGAATTATTTCTGGCAGAATAATTTACTCACTTCTAGCCAAGTGAGCATATGAAAATGAGAAACAGGAGGCAGAGATTATCTATTTTAATACAGTACTGTCACCACTGTACTAACAAAGAAATAGAAAGCAAAGTGAAAAAGAGACAGACAGAGCCAAGTGTCCTAAAGTGAACCATTCAAAATCCATACAGGAATGCAAGAATTCATCTGCATACACACACTTGTATACACACAGAGATAGTAGTGTAAGCAACTACGTATGTTTTTTAACAGAAGTTGGTGAGGTTAAATTTCAACAATGCAAAGCCAAAGAATGATGTTGCAGTAATGGAAGTCCTTCACTTTATACCTGAGCTAAGCAAAAGGCTTGGAGAAGCTGTTTCAACCTGATGACCTCACCCAGAGAACCTCAGCCAGTGGGCTGCGCAGAAGTCATCTTGGGCCTCAATAAAAAAGTAAAGGTTGTGGTCTCCTCCATTGGCACATGCTCAGCATCCTCTTTATAAGGTACTGATACTCTCGATTCCACTTTCCCCACTTTTAATCCCATGGCATCTTTTTTGCTTTAACATTTTAAACTCTAGAAATCCTGAATTTAATATGAGGTTGGGGGGGGGGAATTATCCCTGCATTGTTTGTTCCAGTTCTGGTCAGCTTAGAAACACACAAATAACTCTCGTTCACTACATATTCACGCATCTCTCCAAATACAGAACATGTCTCTATATAGTATGACACACAAAATTATAGCCAAGTCATTTTCCCATTTTTTAAGAATTTTGTTTTATTTTTGTACTCAGGGGATTAGTGGTCTTGGATTTATGCAATTAGATTTTATGATAGGGTGTGAAAGATAGCACTGATATTTCACTTTCACATAATGAAAAAACTACAGTTTTAAGTATTAATGGAAACTACAACAATAAAGTACTGAATGTGGTGTAGGAGATAAGAGTGATGGACTAGGACTCTGGAGACCGGGGTTTGAATCCCCAATCAGCCATGAAAATTCACTGGGGGAGTGGAACTGGTAAAAACATTCCTTAAGTATCTCACTTACAGTACTTTGAAAGCCCTATTAGGTCCAGTATCAGTTGGTTCTGACTTGACAGCACAGATACAACAACAATCAGTTTTATACTCCAAGAAAAGCTTGAAGTTCCATCAACACAAGTGTAATATGCTTATCACTGGCTGCCCCACTGTGCACCCTAGGTACTGTCTTCTACATCTGCTGCAGCTTCTGAATCAGCCATTAGGGAAGCCCCACAAACAGCAAGCAGGTTACAGATGTCTAATCCATAAATTATGAATGCATAAAACATAACAGCTAGGCTATACCTGTACCAAGAATTGGCATAGCCACTGAATCAACTATCTCTCGTAGTGAGTGTACCAAGCCACTGATGTCACTTGGGCTTACAGCAATGAAAACAGATCTAGGGCACACAAAGCCAATCCCAGCTATGGAAAGTTACATTCAAAAGGAGTACATCCTTGTATAAAACAACAGAGCAAATTCTCAGACTTAGGAGTCTCATGTGCTTCCATTTATTAGCCCTCATCCAAACCGTAACTGCATACACACTCCAGAACAGAGATGAAACATCAACCCACAGCAAGGACTTTATACAGATGTGAAGCAACACACTGAGGACAAGACAGCACACTGTGACACCTCACAGTTGCTAGGGGACAGCCATCCAATCTTAATCTTAATCTTAATCTTAATCTTAAATCCTGATACAGAACTTTTACATCTCAACTAGATTACTGTAACACAGACTGCTGACTGGGGCTGGTTACAGAGATCATGTGACAACCCGCCCCTTACAACAGCTTCACTGGCTGCCAATCTGTTTCCGAGCACAATTCAAAATACTGGTCTTAATCGATAAAGCCCTAAACAGCTTGGGTCCAAGCTATCTAAAAGACTGCATCTCCCTCTATGAGCCTGCCCGGGCTTTAAGATCATCAGGGGAGGCCTTTCTCTCAGTCCCACCACCCTCACAGGTGCGCTTGGTGGGCACACAAGAGACAGGCTTCTTGGTGGCTGCTCCCAGACTCTGGAACTCCCTCCCACGGGAAGCTTGGCTGGTCCCATCTTTGCAGTCCTTCTCCAAGTAGACAAATATCTATCTCTTCAGGCAGGATTTCCCTTAATGACTGAGAGGGGTTTTAAATGAACAGTTGTGTTCTGTTGTTTTAAATGTCTTTTAGTATTGATTTTATTACTGTTTTTAATGTAATTTAATGTAATACTTGTTTAATTCCTTTTTAAAATTTGTATACCTACTGTTTTTAGCTTCTGCATCTTGTCTTTTTAATGATGTAAGCCACCTTGGGTTCTTTTTAAGGAGAAAGGTGGGATAATAAATAAAAAAAATTTAAAGAAGAACAAAGCAACACAAACTGTGCCCCCGATTCACTGAAAAATTGCCAAGAGACTCAGTAGTAAAAGGGCTGTACTCTTTCCCAAATAAGGTCATTCATTCTAGGTAAACAAGGCTGATTATGTGACTAAACCAGATCTGAATCCACATGAGCAAAATAATCCATTTCATTCAAGAATACCTACAGTTGAATCACTATCATCAGCTATTGCTAATTATTAAATGCTAATATCAAATAAGAATATGAAATACAAAGATGGTGATAGCCTACCTCTGAGAAACACAGATGAAATATGCCTTTCAGCCACTCCTGCCTCACAGATACAGTGGTGCCTCAACTTACGAACGCCCCTACCTACAAACATTTCAACTTATGAGCAGATCCGCTCACAAACTTTTGCATTGTCTTGTGAACAGAAAAAGGCAGGGGAGAAGAGCGGGAAATTTAAATTTGCTAACCGTTGGTGGCGAAGAGTCTGCTTCTTTGTACAGGTCTTTCCCCAAACGGTTAGGAAAAGGGATGCAATGGCGGTGGTGACAGCAGCGGGGATCCAGCACCGGTGAACCCATCCTGGCTGGGTTCTGCCTCCCAGTGCTGGGTCAGTCCCTGCTGCTCGGCACTCAGAGCCCGGCTGGGAGCCGAGCAGCAGGGACTGAGCCAGTGCCGGGAGGCAGAGCTCGGCTAGGAGGCGAAAACCCATCCCAGCCGGGCTCTGGCTCCCGGTGCTGGGTTGGTCCCCACTGCTTGGTGCTCAGAGCCTGGGCCAGTCTGTCTGTTTGTCTGTCTATCAACAAAAAGGAAGCCACTGGATCCTGAGTTATAAATGTTTATAAAATGACAAGTATGCAGCACTATTTGAGGCTATTTCA